TGACCCCCGCGATGGAACAGCGGCCATGTTGTTTTCAACATCATCGGGTGAACGACGCCATCCGTGTACCGTTTCTCGCAACTCTCTGACCTCCTGAATAAGACTTTCCATATTAGTTGCAGCGTTAACATTGCCTGAGTTGTTGGCTGTAACATCCGCTGATTCAATAGTCTGTGAAGTGAGTTCTAAAATTCCGTGATTCTCGTTTGTGTCACCAGTACGTGTAACTGTACCGTCACTGCTGGTGGTCGAAACACGGCCTTGGCAGTTCAATTTGTATAGTTGAATCGCCTCTTTCTTATTCATGGACTGTGGTACCGTTATGCCCATTTCCAAAAGTTTCTGTCGGACTTCAGCCGCCGTCCAATTGTTAGGGTTTGAGGCATCAAACGTTCGCGATCTCGATGGTTTGTTGACATCGCCCAAGGCGTTATTTGGTAAAGAAAGGGATCGATGGCGACCCCTACCACGGCCTCGACGACTTGATTTTCTCCTCGTGGCCGGCAACACTGGTTCTGTTGTTTGGGGTGCAGTAGACACTCCACGTTTGTGATTAAATGCATATAATTTGTTTAATTTGTAATGCAAATTGTAAACGATAACGCTTTGATTGATATGCAAATTGTAAACGGTTACACTTCTATTGATATGTTAATTGTAAACGCTACACTTTTGATACAAAGTGTAGCATTTACATTTTGCATATGAATAAAAGTGTGACAGTTTACACTTTGCATATTTGCGAACGCGTTGCTTTTTACAATTTGTATATAAATTCACCCTGTTTGCAAGAATAAATCGTTGGTGAGAACAATGATGCACGTGACCAAAAGTGGTATAATAAATATAATCCCATGTCGTGAATTTACGCTTTGTCAAAAACTTATTGCACAAGAACGTTTAAGAATTGGAATCCTAAAACTGTCAATTTAGTGGGGCTTGGATGAAGGTTTATGCCACAAAAAATATATCCTTAGTGTGTGGAATGGAGGGGCTGTTTCTAGGATTTTCTTAGCAGCATAATGACTCGTGCATATCAAATTAATGCATTATTACTAATGAGTGCGTGGCACTACAAATTACCCATAATTCTCAAAGATTTGTACATCAGATTATATACAACTTTTTATTGACATGTATTTTGAACCCTACTAAATTTTGTAAAAAGAAAAAAAAAAGCTTAGAAAGAACTCCCATGTGCTAAGAGTATTGGAGACGCATTAAAATTAATTCAAAATTTAAGATTTGCTTTTCAAACGAGAAGCTTAGCAACTAATTTTTGTCTGCTATTTGAGATGCATAATATAAAAAAAATGGGTTTCACATTATCAAAATTTATAATACATACAGAAAATACATTTGATTTTTCATCCATGGTTTTTAGCTAATAATATATAATCAATATGCATGTTTATCAACGTTAAAATAATCATGTATGTGGATTACCTCAATGAACCAAATGAATTATTATAAACAACAAAGTAATTATTATGCATAGATTTAGGTCTATATATTGTTCAGGGCGCACATGTACAAAGTGTTATTATGTGATGATTAATCCTAACTAAATTAGTGGAAAGCTGAAAAGTAAATTATTATGCAAATTAGGTAATCGTTACAGATGTGTATGAATCTAAAACTAATTTGATCATCACATTGTGTTAGAGTACATATGTACCAAGATTCATTGTTAAGATAAGTACTGTCACAGACCATCTATGTACGAAGTTTCATTGAAAAACTATTATAACCAAAAAGTATGATTTATTGTGCAAATAAGGTAATTAATATGATCTGATTATAATTCAAAACTGAGCGGGTCTGTGCATTGTTCTGGGGCATCAAGTTTCATTGAAATGGAATAATTAGTACATGTGTTATCAGTGTGAAAGCTGAAAATTAGCTAATTATACAAATTAGGTTATTTATACGCACTGATTTTAACCTAAAACTAATTAGGTCTGTGCATTGTCCTAGAAAATCTATGTACCAAGATTTATTTAAATGGGATAATTAGTACTAATTATGCAAATTAGTTGATTAATATGCACATATTTTTACTTAATCGGGTCTTTGGATTGTTCTAGAGCATCTATGTACCAAGTTTCATTGAAAAGTAATGAAGTTATAGTACTTGAAATATCAAAAGGTAAAAATTTTACATATCTGTCTGTGCATTCCTATGCAAGTTTCATTGAAATGTGATGATTAGTACTCAAGATATCGGTGGAAAGCCGAAAATTGACTAATCATTATGCAAGTTAGGTTAGAGCATCTATGTACCAAGTTTCATCAAAATCTAATGAATGGCTCTTTAGATATCAGTGGAACAGTAAAGGAGCAGCTAAAAATTAGTTAATTATCATGCAAATCAGGTATAATTAATATACATGGTTTCATCCAAGACCTAATCAAATCTGCACATTAGCCGAGAGCATCTATCCACCAAGTTTCATTAAAAACCAACATACGGTTCTTGAGACATCTACCAGGTAGTTTTCGATTGCATTTCTATTGTATTGATATTAAATGCCATTCTTTGACACTCGTGTCTTAATGTACGACAGACAAGATACAAAATGGACCCAGTTTTTTCAAAGATTTTGGTGTTGAATGAGATTGGTCAAGGCATGCCAGAGATACACTGAACAACATACATTAAAACAAAATGGCCACCAGACGGCCATTTTGATTCCAATTTTCAGGAAATATAATATGCATCAATGTTCCAACCTGACAGTGTTCTCCATAGCATATAAACAGCAAGGCAGTAGTTTATTTCCATTGGGCACTTGATAAATTGCTAAAAACTCATTTGTAGTTGTATTTTGTATGTCAATCACAATTTTTTTTTTTAAATATGCAAAAAACTTTCAAATTTAAATTTCTAGGGGTAACAAATAAAAACTATGCACGGACTGGTTTTGGAATACAGACAATGCTTGGTTTTGATGCACTTTTAAAATTAAAATGTGTTTCCTTTGAACTTATTTTTGATCATGAAATAAGTGTGTATATGCATGACAACTATGTATATAACAATGATGATTTAATCTTCTAGAAGGGGTCCAAAATTACTGAATGCAGATCAAAACATACACTTCTTTACAATATAATTAAATGTTCAATAAAATCAAAAATAAAATATCTATAACACCCTTCCTGTAGCCTGCTTGAGAAAGTTTGCACCCGGATATCTACAAAAATATTGTTGCTCCACCACAACTACATTGTATATTAACAAAAAACTTGAAAACTACCATTATACTGTGAAATGATACCATCTTTACTGAAAAAAAAACATGTATATTTCTAGACATTGTTAATCTTTCACGTTTTCAATGTTGTTTTTGCCAAGTGCTATGAAAGCTAACATGCAATGATAGCTT